CCCCAAAACCCCAAAACCCCAAAACCCCAAAACCCCAAAACCCCAAAACCCCGTAAAATTTATCCAGAGCTGAAAATTCGAGTTAATAAATAATAATAATAATTTTGCCAAAACAGATGTCAAAACTTATGATTCCAGCAGGCTGTGAAGACTCTAAATCAAATAGTGATGTACCAGAAGTTGCTGTAAAGGCTCCAAGAAGAAAGTATAAGCAAAAGATGTCACTCTGGAGCAAGACCAAAGATGCTGATGCAAATACATTAAGCATTGATGCTAGTACCAAGAGCTCTCAAGGCTTCTCTTCAATGGGAGTCCTAGCCACCAAAACTTCTTTTGTAAGTCAACAACCCTCTTGGAAAGATTCTAAAGGAGCGATATTTAGATATCAATAATTTTAGGAGTTTTATCCTTTAAATCAAGTTTCATTCAATGTGGTTTATTCTGAAAATCAGCAAATTTGATACCATATTTATTCACATTATAATTTCATTCTTGCTTATCATGATTCAAAATAATTTTTGGAATGATTGCTAACACACTATTTAGTTCACCAAAGAATCTTCAATCAATAAGTTCCTCGACAGCATGAATATCAAAAAGGTTGACTTCTCAGGAATTATGAAAACGACTGTGGTCACTCAAGAGAATAAAGTAAAATTCCTAGGAAATGGGCACACCAGTATTCAATCCAGAAAAGGCATGTTCAAGGGAAGCAAGGTCTCCTCACTTTGGGAAAGAAGACAGAACCAGAGCAGATTCACTCTCGAAGACAATAAATCGAGTTCTGGTTCAGACAGCGACTAAATTCCATTATCGGAAGATGTTGATTGACTCCTGATGGGACTTCCTTCAGGATGATCATATCTCAATGATTAGTCCAAGGACTGGTGCACAATAATTTCTTTGCCTCCAGACCTTGGATATGTCTAATAAGTTACTCATTTTACTTATAATTACGTTCATTAACTTGTAAAGTTCCAACAGGGTTGATTCCTGCGAGCTTATTTACAAGAAGTTCTGAAACCTTCCTTTGTGATAAATAGGATAGTTGAATCTAGGTTTTGGTTTTCTGACAAGGTTTTATATAAGAAAGAAACAATTTATACCAATTGTACTTATTTCCTTGTACAACTTGTCTATCAAAAGAGATAGTTACCCATGAAATTAGAATGAATTTCTAAATGGTGTGGGCTAAGTAATAATTTTATTGTAATCGATTCTATAAAAAATTAGCATCTCTTATCTACTCAAAGTTTTTAAAATTTAGGGAAATTTTTACGAAAGCTTTGTCTAATAGGAACAAATCAACTCAGAAAATTCATTTAAATCCTAAATTATTTCACAAATTTATTAAAATATTTCATTTTCCAAATCCCAAATTTTCTCCAATCTGTGTATTTTCCTTTCCTCCCACAATACACCCAAAATACCTTCCAAGCACAATCCCTACCTCTTACCACACCTCCTTCCCATCCATTCCTCCTCTTCCTCCCTCTTGTCTTCCCTCACCACCAAAATCTCTACTCTTCCCCTCTCTACCCCATTCCCTTCTTCCTCACCCAAAATCTCCCTCCTACCTTATCCACACCCCGTTCATCCCACCGTTCAGCCCTTCCTTCTTCTGCACCAAAAAGTGCATTGGATTGATTTATTTGTAGTTAGTCAACCTAGGCTTTGTAAATTGGGGTTTTGGGGTTTTGGGGTTTTGGGGTTTTGGGGTTTTGGGGTTTTGGGGTTTTGGGG